TGTGTTTTTGTGCCATCTGTATGTCTTCCTTGGAGAAATGTCTGTTTAGTTCTTTGGCCCATTTTTTGATTGGGTCATTTATTTTTCTGGAGTTGAGCTGGAGGAGTTGCTTGTGTATTTTTGAGATTAATCCTTTGTCTGTTGCTTCATTCGCTATTATTTTCTCCCAATCTGAGGGCTGTCTTTTCACCTTGCTTATAGTTTCCTTTGTTGTGCAAAAGCTTTTAAGTTTCATTAGGTCCCATTTGTTTATTTTTGCTTTTATTTCCAATATTCTGGGAGGTGGGTCATAGAGGATCCTGCTGTGATTCATAGAAACATGTTTCCACTATTAGAACTAGAAGAAACTCGACAGATGACCTTTTCCCATGCTTCCCCCAGAATTGAATGTCTCTGATCAAAATGTGTGACAAGTTATAGGATTCCCAACTTTTTATGATACAAACCAAAAGGACCTACCTACAAGGCATCTACCAACACCATCATTCCACTTAAGGGTAGTGTAATACCAAAATTAGGGGGTAAAAGGGACAATTTCCAAAAAAAAAAGGGTATTATTTTCATTGAATAAATCTAGCTCTACTATTAAAAAACAAAAGCAAAAAAAAAACTCGGATCGCAGCTCTACCACCTCCCAGCTCTGTGAGCTTGTATAAATCACTTCTCTTAGCCTCAGTGTTCTCATCTGTAGAAGAGGGAAGATACTCCTAATAACACCTGCCCTGAGAAGTGACTGTGAACATTCAATAAGGCGTTGCTCGTAAGCTGCACTTCAGCGTGGGTGAAGTTGAAAACCCCCGGGGTTTTCAACCTGCGCACTGCTCACGCTCCGAGCCAGGTTGTTCTCTGGGGCAGGGTCCGTCCCACGCATTGAAGGATGTTGAGCAGCTTCCCTGGTCTCCGCTCACCAGACGCCAGTAGGAATCTCACCCCCGCTTCTCACCCAGTCATGAAAACCAAAGAGTCTTTCACTGTTGCTGTTCAGTCGCCAAGTCATATCCAGCCCTCTGTGACCCCTGGACCGCAGCACACCAGGCTTCCCTGTCCTCCTCTATTGCCCAGAGTTGGCTCAAACTCATGTCCATTGAGTCGGTGAAGCCATCCAACCCTCTCGTCCTCCGTCGCCCCCTTCTGCTGCCCTCAGTCTTTCCCAGACTCAGGGCCTGGACATTCCCAAATGTTCTCTGGTGAGGGTGGGGTTAAACTGCCCCTGACCTAGAACCACTGGTTTACATATTCCCCCCACAGTGATGGGCCCAGGTTCATCATCTCACGTTTAGAGGCTGGTATTTTCCAAACCTCGCCTGTAACAGATGAGGAAACCAAGACCCAGAGGGATCTGCCTGTGGTTACAGCATTAGTTTCTAGGGTTGCCATGACAAAGTACCACAAACTGGCTTAACACAACAGAACTTCCTTTCTCAGAGTTTTGGAGAACGCAAGTCCTGAATCGAAGTGTCAGCAGGGCCACGCTCCCTCGAAAGCTTCTAGGGCCAAATTCTTCCCGCCTCCTCCAATTCCCGGGTGCTCCTTGCATTTCTTAGCTTGCGGCCACATCACTCCAGTCTCTGCCTCTGTCTTCACATGGACTTCCTTTCTGCACCTCTGTCTTCTCCTTTTCTTATAAGAACCTTTGTCACTGAATTTAAGATCTACACAAGTGATCCAGAGTGATCTCATCCCGAGTTCTTCAACTTAATATTATTTGCAAAGACCCTTTTTCCAAATAAGGTCATGTTCAAGGTACCAAGGATTAGCACTTGGGCTTGTATTTTGGAGGGAGCACAGTTCAGCCCTCTACAATTATAAGGCTTGTTGGTGACAGGCCTAGGACTAAGACTAAAATATCCTTTTTTTCAAATATATGTTCATATATATGGGTGAAGAATTTATTTACAGGGCAGCGATGGAGAAACAGACATAGAGAATAGACTTATGGGCATGGGGAGAGGGGAGAAGAGGGGAGGTGTATGGGGAGAGTAACGTGGAAACTTACATCACCACGTGTAAATTAGATAGCCACCAGGAGTTTGCTGTATGGCTCGGGGAACTCACAGGGGCTCTGGATCTACCTAGAGGGGCAGGATGGGGAGGGAGATGGGGGGAGGTTCAAAAGGGAGGGGGTGTATGTATACCCGTGGCTGATTCATGTGGAGGCTTGACAGGAAACAACAAAATTCTGTAAAGCACTTTTCCTTCAGTAAAAACAGAAAAAAAAAGAAAAGAATCTGCCTGCAATGCAGGAGACCCAGGTTAGATCTCTGGGTGGGGAAGATCCCCGGGAGAAAGGAATGGCAACCCACTAGAGTATTCTTGCCTGGAGAATCCCATGGACAGAGGAGCCTGGCGGGCTACAGTCCCTGGGATCACAAACAAAGAGCTGACACAACGGAGCAGCTAACACTGTTACTCACACACACTATATATATTCATATATATTTAAGTTTAGCTGGGCCAGGTCTTACTTGCAGCATCCAGACTCTTGGTTGCATCACATGGGATCTAGTTCCCCGACCAGGGGTTGAACCCAGGCCCCTGCACTGGGAGCGTGGAGTCTCAGCCACTGGGCCAGCAGGGAGGTCCCTGAACTATTCTGACTCTCAGGATGGTTACTTAACCTCTCCAGGTTTCAATTTCCTTTCTTGTAAAATGGGCCTAACTAAGCGGTCCACCTGGAGAAGGAACTGGCAACCCACTCCGGTGTTCTTGCCTGGAGAATCCCAGGGACGGGGGAGCTTGGTGGGCTGCCGTCTATGCGGTCGCACAGAGTCGGACACTACTGAAGCGCCTTAGCAGCAGCAGCAGCAAGGGATCCACCTCCTTCAGAAGTCGGGTTCATAGCAACCCAGCTTGTGATTGTGGTTTTACACATGAAAGTACAGTGTCTGGTTTAGAGCAAGAACTCTGGAAAGGTTCGCGATTGCTACCATGTTCATTATTATCTGTTTTATTATCATTTGGGCTTCCCTTCAATTAAATCAACAGAATATCTGTAGGGAAAGATGGATTTAAGCTATGACCTAGACGGTGACATCAATAATTCTTTGTCCTATGTTATTATTTCCCCACATGAAAGTTGCTGCAGGATGTAGAACTAGGCGTCCACCTTGGAAGGGAAAGAAAAGTAATACATAACGTCAGGAAGATGAACTGTGTACTTTTCTCTCTCATTCCCTGTAAACTGTCAAGAAAGATGACATTTCTTTTTTTTTCACAGTTAAGACTCTTAACTCCTGACGTCATCGTTTGGTTACTTTTTAAACTGACAGGATGGTCTTTTTTTTTTTTAAGGATATTTTTCTGTTCCCCCCTTTATTTATTTATTTATTTATTTCTTCTGTTCCCCCCCTTTAAAAAAAAAAAAAATTATCTGGCTGTGCCAAGTCTTAGTTGCAGCATGCAGGATCTAGTTCCCTGACCAGGGATCGAACCCAGGCCCCTTACGTTGGCCGTGTGGAGTCTTAGCCACTGGATCACCAGGGACGTTCCTGTAGGATTGTCTCGGAAGGATTTTAATCCAGAAGAACATGTGTTCTGCGTAACTCTCTTATTCTGGGGCGTTCTAACTGGGAGAAATTTACATACAAATTGATTTCATGCCCTTTTCTTTGTCAAGCTTAAGGCTGTTTAAATTTATCTCTTTCCATCTTTAGTAACCCCAATTGAGTTACTAGTTAAAATATACCCTGCTCCTCTCACTAATCTGACTACCTGTAATTGGAGGATTTAATTACCAGCAGTATTTTTATAATGGAACGATCCTGCCTTGCAGTTTAGTAACTCAGTTTATCTCCGTGGCAGCAGCAAGGTTATTTGAAAGCCTGAAATGTGAAGACAGAGGGCAGTGCAGTAGGGTCTAGGGACTTTTGGAGTGAACTGCACTTACCCAGCTTCACAAGTGAACTTTGCCTGAAATAAGATCGCAAGCAAAGATCTCAGTCACATACGCAGCTGCCACCTTCCTTTTCTTCCTTGCAATCCAGACCTTGAATTTTCTTCAGGTTATCTGGAGGTGGGTGCTCAAGGAAGGTGAGTTCCCAACACCTTTCCACCCACCCCTGAGGCTTTTTGCCAGAGAATGTTCTAGAAGCGGCAGGTAACCCAGTTCTGGCCACAGACAGAAAGGGGGAAACCGGGAAACCTGCTAGAGGACTTTAAAGGAAGATTTCCTCCTCTATAAATGTATAAGATTTCCACCTCCTCTATTTCCTCCTCTCTCTGTATTTCCCCCCTTTCCCTGCCTTTGACATGGTTGTAGGAGGAGGTGCCGGGGCAAGAGCAGCCATCCTGTGACTGTGAGGACACTTAGGGACAGAGTGAAAAGGACAAGAATGATGGGATGGAAGGATGGAGAGGTCCGGTTTCTTTCTTTTTTTTTGACGTAAGAGAAATCATTTTAATATACACATTTTCACTTCAGTCAATTCAACAATGATTTCTAATAGGCATGCAGCCCCATTTAGTTTGCTTCAAATTTATTTATTTCTCAACATGCAGCAACCTTCCTAATGAGATAGCTGAGTTGAACTATTTATTCTTAAAGAGTACACTGTACCTTGTCCTCAAAGAGTTTTATCAACTTTAACATTTTCAAAGAGCCTCATGAGGCTGCTCAACATGGTAGTTTTCCCCTGAAATTTCCTATTTGGAGGATGGCAAAACAGTCTAGGATCTTCCCCAGTCTACTGGTGCTTGTATTCATATCACAGCTTGGCTGGCTAAGAGGTAGAGACTGAATAATATGTAGATGGCCTTCAAGCCCAGCTGAGTAAGACAGCTTCATTTTTAGAAAGGAAGCCAAATCATGAAAACCCTCCTGATAGTATGATTAGTTCCAGGGTTCTTTTAAGAAGGGACGTAATCCTCATGCACAGGACTCTCTGTGGCCTTCTAGAGTTTTCTGCTCAGCCAGTGTTCTCCAGCCCGGTGACTTAGTTGCTGCCGGACTGGAAGCGTGGCGCCTCCGTCTGCTTGCATCGTTAGAGCCGGTGTTAGCCTTCTCATTTCCGGCCAAATGGAGCCGACCACGCTGTCGGCCCTGGTGGCTGCACGGCTTCCGGAACAATCCCAGCTCCACGTACGGCTTCCTTCTTGCGCTCCCCCAGCCGCATTAAGGGCCGGGAGTAGATGAGGTAGCAGGCGGCGCCGACCAGGGAGATGAAGCCGCGGGAAACGAGAGCAGTGCGCAGGTTCCCGGACATGGCTCCGGCCGGGGCTACGCGGATTCCCCGAGTGCCCGGGACTCTGCAAACCCGGCTCCCGCCGGCTGGGCCGAAGTCTGGCTTCTGAACGGTGTTGGTCATCTCCCGAAGCAGTCTTGGAACTTCTGCGTCAACCTCTGGGTTCTTGTTAAGTGGGAAGTAAAAGATGGACTACTCGTTTGAGCCAAATTTCATCCATTGGTGCTTGTGATGAAAAACATCCTGATAAAGGGAAACTCCAGGGTTTCCCTCTCCTGGTCCCTGAACAAAGTGAGAAGTGAACCGCCTCAAACTTTAAATAAAGCGTATTGTAGACAAATCCGAAAATTATGGCATTCACCCCCCCCCCCATCCCCCGCCCCCATGATGGCAAAGAACACAGCCTTCGGAAGTCACCTGAGCTGGGTTCAAAATCCCGCTCAGCTGCATACGTGTGACTTTACCTGTGAAACGGAAGTGACACGCAGAGGGAGAGCCGTTCCCACGGCTGCCTGGGTGGAGGGAGGTCTCGCTCGCGGAGAGCTGTCCTTCGCTCCCTTGTGTTGGGCGGCCTGGGCGTCCATCACGGAGAGCCATGCCCACTTCTGGAGGCTGGACGTCCCCGATCAAGACGGGTTTCTGGCAGGGGCTCTCCCCTCGACTTGCCGATGGCACCTCCCGGCCGTGTCCTCGGGTGGCCTTTTCACTGTGCGTGGATGTGAAGCAGAGAGCCCTCCGGTGCCTCTTCCCCTTAAGAGTCAAGCATTTCAGGAGCAAAGACAGCGTCTCTCTCCCCAAACAACAACCATGTGTTCCTTGCCGTGTCCAGCTATTTGCGACCCCATGGACGGCAGCCCTAGAGGCTCCTCTGTCCATGGAATTTTCGAGGCAAGAATACTGGAGTGGGTTGCCACTCCCTTCTCCAGGGGATCTTCCTAACCCAGAGGTCAAACCTTCGTCTTCTATGTCTCCTTCATCGACTGGCGGGTTCTTTATCTGCTGAACCATCAGGGAAACGCCAAAGAGGACCTGCTTTAAGCAGTTTGTTAAACACCTTCAAAGATTTTGGTATGATGATACAAACTTACATAAGAGGTGTAGGTATGTGTGTGTGTACCAGCATAAGACAGAAACATATACGGTTTGAGAAAGGTTATTGGCAAAGATCAGGTCCTACATTTTGTTTTTCAATTTGTGATTTTTTTTTTCCTTCCATCATTTATTCAACAAATATTTATTGAGCACTTCCTGTCTGCCAGGAACTGTGTTTTATTTTGTTTTGTTTGCTTGAATGTGCATTTCTTCCTTGTTGTTGTTTTTGTTTTTTAGAAAATGATTTCTGTGATCAAGGAAGTCTGGGAAACAATGAGATGGTCACAGAATGCTGGGTTTAGAATAACCTTCCAGATTTCTTTCCCCCTGTCTCCAGTGCATCTAAGAGATCCAAGTCAGTTTAGTATCTGTTCTTGTTACAAAGACCTCCAGTGAAAGCGGCTTCACTGCAGTCTTGAGCACCTCTCCCAGAGCTTGCTCAGTTCCGTGTTCTTGGAGGAAATGATCTCTGTAACAGTAATAACTGATGCGCTAAAGTGCCCTGGTGGCTCAGTGGTAAGGAACCTGCCTGCAATACAGGAGACCCAGGTTCCATCCCTGAGTCGGGAAGATCCCCTGGAGAAGGAAATGGCTACTCACTCTAGTATTCTTGCCTGGAGAATTCCATGAAGAGAGGGAACCTAGAAAACTACAGTCCATAGAGTTGCAAAAGGGTCAGACACGACTGAGCGGCTCACACTTTTACTTTGGGCTTCCCAGGTGGCGCTGGTGGTAAAGGACCCACCTGCCGGTGAAGGAGACAATGAGAAGCATGTTCGATCCCTGGGTCAGGAAGATCCCCTGGAGGAGGGCATGGCAACCCACTCCAGGATTCTTGCCTGGAGAATCCCTTGAACAGAGGAGCCTGGTGGGCTACAGTCCATGGGGCCGCAAAGAGTCAGACACGACGAAAGTGACTTAGCACACAGGCAGCGTGCTCATAGTGTGGGCCTGTGCCAAGGACCTAAAACATGGTGACGTTAAAGTTAGGAGATGTGCTCAGATCAAAGAAACTGGTCCCTATAGTTGTTGAAACTGCTTGTGCAAGCATGTAACTTTGCTATAAAAGACATTCAGCTCTTCTGAGCCTCCATTTGCAAAGGCTTTAGTTCTAAAAGCTAATGTGTAGAGGGGAAAAAATCAAGTATGAGCAAAAATTACCCTTGACCATCCTGTTATAGTAGTAGAGCAGGCAAGGACCAGGGACCTCCCACTCCATCTCTTCCTTGAAATAGTGCACACGGTTGCCTGGGTAATTTGTTTAGTTATTTTAGTATTTATTTGGCTGCACTGGATCTTAGGTGCAGCCCACGGAATCTTCAGTCTTTGTTGCCACATGCGGGATCTTCAGTTGTGGAAGGTGAACTCTTAGAGGCTTGATGTGCATTCCTTGCTCAGCATGTGGGATCTAGTTCCCTGACCAGGGATGGAACCCAGGCCCCTACATCGAGAGCTCAGACTCAGCCACTGGGCCATCAGGGAGGTCCCTGCCCAGGTAATTTAAATCCTTCTTTTTTTTCTCTCTCTCCCTCTTTTCTCCCCACACACATATAGTAGAATTCAGAGAAGTTAAACGGACCTCGAGGTGACTGCACTTTAACAGTAACTACCCTGTATGGTTTTTCTGATGATTAAAAATATAATTCATGCAAAGCAGCTAGTTCAGGGCCTCACACATGGTAAACATCCAGAATATTTTAGCTTTCCTTATCGTTCCCACTATTACTTCTCTACTGAAAAAAAGTTCCTTCTTTTGAGAAATTCTTGAAGCCAGATTCCACATTTTACTCTGGCTCGGTCACCCAACCCCCACTTCCAGCAAAATTGCAGATATATAATTCTGTCTTCATCCCATGAGTACTTTCATGGCACAGTCACTGGCAAATAAGTGATATATCAATCACTTATCGAATGAATTATGAAATCTGTGGTTCAGGAGCGGTAAAGTGAAATAAAGGAGGAAGATTATCTGATAACAGTACTTGCCTAATACTGTTAAGATTTTAAAAACTAAACCTGATGTCTAATAAATGTCTAAAACGGCTTTAGTTTTGTAAAAGTTCGTATACTCTTCGTTTATTCTGTAAGTATTTCTTACATTCTTACCCAGGCTCCGAACAAGGCTCGGAAATCTGGTGATGACAGATAAGAACCCTTGTAGGCACAGTGAGGAGAAAGCAATCAAAAAGAACTGCTCCAAAGATCATTTCTGATTCCAGTGCTTCATGCAGGAGATAAACAGAGAGATGGGCCGGAAAGTGACTGAAGGGGAAACCAGCCTCTACAGGGATTTGGGAACGGCCTGGGAGAAGGGAGAAGGGGACATTTGAGCTGAGGTCTGGGGTGATAAGTGTCAAAATCTAGTCACAGTATTTAAAAAAACATTTAAAGGTGTGATATATTCTGAAAACAGCTTCATTTGCATTTTCCCTTTCGAGAGAAATCTTTGGCAGAGGATTTAAAAGTCTGATCATACCCAATCCTAGAAAGAATGCAGACAAGGGACTTCCCTGATGATCTAATGGTTAAGGCCGGCAATGCAGTGGGCTTGGATTCAATCCCTAGTCAGGGAACTACGATCCTACATGCCACATGGCATGGCCAAAAAAAAAAGAACGCAGACAAAGGAGACCCCTTATAAACTTCTCTTTGGAGTGGAAGTTGATGCAACCCTTTGGAAAACATTTGGTGACAGCTAGTTAAAATTGAAGGTGTGAATTTCCTACCACCCAAAAATACAATGTCTAGATATGGTCTTTAGACAGACCCTTAAAAATATCTCCTCTTAGGGAAGGATGCAAGGGAATTTTCTCTTAAATTCTAAAGTCCAACTATAAGACAAAAAGAATTGACTCCACAAATATTTACAGAGCACCTGTATATGCCAGGCACTACTTAAGGCTCTAGGAAAACTATGGCGAATGAAACCATCAGGCTGTGGCCTCATGGTTGTGACGAAGGAAGACACACCAGAAACAAAAAGTCCCAACACTGACAGCCTGTGCATGCGTGCACAGTCATTTCAGACATGTCCGACTCTGCGACCCTATGAACTGTAGCCCACCAGGCTCCTCTGTCCGTGGGGTTCTCCAGGCAAGAGCACTGGAGTGGGTTGCCACGCCCTCCTCCAGGGGATTGTTCCGACCCAAGGATTGAAACTGCGTCTCCTGTGGCTTCTGTAGGACGGTGGATTCTTTACCACTGAGCTACCAGGGAAGCCCGCTGACTGCAGACTTAAAGGATATACCCAGTTTGTAACGCTGGTTTTACATAAGAGGAAACAGCTTCAGTCAGCTAGTCAGATGGAGGACCTACTAGCCCAGCACTTTAGTCCCTGGACTACACTTGAGTCCATAGCTACCCTCCCCACTGGACCCATGGGAAGACAGGTGTTAAGTGTCTATTTACCATGCTGGGTGCCCACTGCCTGGCTCAGGAGGAGTTGCATAGTTTTGATGTGACAGGAGGCAGACTGCAGAACCATCCAGAAGTAAAACGTGCAGAAAAGGCAGACTACAGAATGAGCTACTCAAATACAGGAGCAGACTCCATGGAGAGAGGAAGAATGAAGGCTCCTTTCTCCACCAAGCTCCGCCTCAAGCACCTGCCTCCTCTCCTTTCCTCCTTGAAGAAAATCACGCAGCTCCAGAGTGTAGACCCAGGCTGCCCCCACAGTATGCTCAACCCCGAAATACCAAAATCAGGCAAAACTCTGAGAGATGCCTTCCGTAAGGGGGCAGTAGGCAGAGAAGCGAAGGCAGGCGGAGGAAAATCAGAATCAGTGTCCCCCAGTTTGCTTGTATCCCCTGCTGATTCAGAAGTCCTGGCTTTGGGGACAGCAGCCCCAGAACAGGGAGGAACCCTGACATCATCGCCCCAGGACGCATGCCTCCTGCTTCTGGAAGAGGGGTCCTCATGGGGACACTTTA